TGACTTTCTTTTGTTGCAACCAGAACACGTTGTTTTTGATTTTATTTGTTCCACTTTTTTTCACTGTTCAAGTATGAAGTTATTAAAAAATATTACTACATCCTTAAATTTTTGTCCAGTTTATTGGGCAAGATTTAGTAAAAGTTGTTGATATCAAGTTTCATCCGTTGATTTCAGTGAATTCATCTGGCGAGATGAAGTGCATTTGACTAACATAGAAATTCAACGTTCATTTTTTCTAATCTTTAAGTAAAAAATGATTGCAATCTATTCCAACAATCAAAAATTACACACGATCGGGAATCATCTATATTGCACATGAGTGTATGAGGTATAAATTTTTCTTAAAGAATTGCATGGTCATGAGTACAAACATTAAATTTGAATTGCACTAACATTACGTAAATATTTTACGTTAAAATGCTTGGGCAATTAAATTCACTTTCTTGAGTGTTGTCGTTGCCTGCTGGTCATCTTAAAGTTATTTCATATGATAAATTACCACCTGATGCGTTGCGAAGATTACGTAAGCAGTTTTATTCCAGTTTTCTTTTTGTTCATCTCTTTCTTTATATCAGGCGATTGGCTTACTTTACAAAAATAATGGAAGCGAAACAAAGAATTTCACAAAATCTATAATAAGTTATATCAAACCACAGGATTTTATGTTTAAAAACACTGTCTACGCTTTACATACGGTAAAGCTGCTCAATCACAGTAGCTACACGTAAAACATTTTTCACATTTGTCTTTCAAAATTTCCTTTGCTTGTTTTCTGAAAAGATCTGTAACATACTAACTTTTCGATGCTCTCTATGATTTTCCTTTTCATAGCACTGATATAAATAAAGTTTGCAATGTTATATTAACTTTTGCGTGTTATTACGTGATTCTATCAATTCCATTTTTGTTTTTTAAGATAAACATCAATGGAGTTATCTCATTCCTTCAAGAATTTATACTATACAAACCTGACCCATTCCCTTTGGGAAACAATAGTCGTCTAATTGCACCCTTTTGGGCAGATGTCGACACCAGAAGAGGAGGCAATATATATTACAGAGAAAGTCAAGATCTTGCTATTCTAAAAAGAGCTTCAGCGGAAGTTAGAAAATATGAAGTTAGTCAAAGGCGATTCTTTGCAAAGTGGGTCTTGATTGCTACATGGTTAAAGGTTGCACCTTATGGTGGCTCTTCGGATCGTAATGTAAATAATTTTTTTTTGAATGTAAACCTTTCATAATGGGGAGAATTTTTTCATGGTAATTACTTTTTCTAAGTCAAGATCTGTAAAAATTTTAAGTTGTTTAAGTTATTTTGCATATACTTGTTTGCATTCCTAATAAAAAGGCAACGAATCAAAGATGTAAGTTGCTTATGCTTTGCAATATATTTTTGTGCTCATTTTAACAATGGGCTCGATTTTATGTTTACACTATGAGAGCAAAATATGTCTTCTTCACTATTTCAAAACGATATAAAAGTTAATGGTAGAACCTAAAACATGACGGTCTTTGTTTGAAGTGACATATGACTTCGATTATTTTAACCGTTTACATACATAGAAACGTCTTCCTTTCTTACAGAACAGCTTCCAAGTGATTTTAGCAACAGACGGTATTAATTCATTTTCAATATTTTACTACAATAAAATCAAATGGACATACGGTAGTGAGAGTGACGAAATTCCAGCACAAGTAAGTATTCGAATGATGTATAATTCAAAAAATGGATATATGTACAATACTTCATAATATACATGTTGCTATTCACTATATAAACAATGCCAGCTGTGATACGTCAACTAACTGCAAATAATTTTAGATATGTCTAATTATGAGGTCATTTTCAGAGATAATTGTAGTTATCTGTAGGATGCCGTCATATCTCCAATTACTAGTCCTGGAATTATTGACGCCGTTATAAAAATGCCAGTTTTTAGAAGAAATTAAATCATTACGTCTACTGTCAATAATTTAAGTGTTTTTAGAATCATTTACCATATAATTAAAGAATTATTTAGAGCCAGAAGAGGTAAAGAAGCAACACATGGCGAAGGGATGGATATCTTGTTTACAAACATTTTTTATAAGACTTCATTTCTAAAAATTCACTTAGCAATGGCTTTCGCAAAATTTTTTATATTTGAATTGCATTGTCATTTCGTAAGATTAATGGTGCGTAAAAAATCATCAAACTGTTAAAACAGATAATAGCATCTATAAGACAATGATTTAATTGAGAAATGATTAAAAAAAACAACTTCGTAAATTTGGTTATAATTACTTATATAAATTAAAAAGTTATATTCATGAATTAGTATTTATTTCAGGCTGGTTTCAACGCAGGTGATGGTAAAAACTTTTTAAACATTCCAAATTCTCGTACTCCTGAGATAGTCAACATTACTTCAACATCTAACAAACAGAAGCCTGGAGTATGGTTTTTTAAAGTCGATGGAGAAACAGTGAAAAACGAAGAGTGCAAGGAAAGTGGATGTATGATCTACCATAATATTGCGGTATTATAGTGACTGACTTTGGTTTATCAAATGTGTTAAGTAAAAAGTTCACACTTTTTAAACAAGAAAATTATAGTGAGATTGTTGTATGCAGATGATCTATTATACTTGTAAATTTTATTTATTTTACAAAATGTGTATATGGGTACTTTAATTATTAATTACATTTATAGATTTGGTGATTTCACCTAGATCGGGGATTGAGTTAGGTGGAACAGAAGTTTATGTTGGTGGACCCTGTTATAAGCCTGGATATACTATCATTTGTCGCTTTATGGGGAAATTAACTTCAAAAGCAAAATACATTAGTCCAGAACAAACTTCTTGCATCACCCCTCCACTCTATGTGAGTGGCCGTATTTTATTTGAGCTGTCTTTGGATGGTGGTGCTACCTACAATTTTAATGGCAGCTTCCGATCAAGTAAGTGTTTGTTATGGAAGTATCTATTAAGTAAGAATATGTTTAATAGAGTGCATGGACGTAAACAAGAGCATTTATCACAAATTGCTCAGATAAGTTGTAAGAAGCAAAAAACTTGAAATCAAATTAATTACCATCAATATTATATATGACACACTTGCAAAACGACTCAACTCAGCCAAGTAGGTCAACTTGCCTAGAGGGGACAACTTTCCCATGAAATCGTCTTCTCGGTGTACACAATCAATTAATATATGGCTTACTCGAATGTTAGCTTCTTCAATAGCGCCTTAATAAAAATAGATAATAAAAACTATGAAGATTATGCTACTTCATCTTGATTATCACTCGACACGGATCGTTTATAATCAGTTACTACAGTTGTTCGTTGCGATATAGAGCATCTAAAATTATAATTTTATAGTGGCAAAAACAAAATGCTAACCAACGAACTATGGGAATTTTCTTTTGAGTCAAAAACATGGCAAGGTATGAGTCGCCGTTTTTCAACGAGTATTCAACGTATATTCCGAAGTTACAAATTTAAAATTGGCGTCGAAAAATGACGTTTTTTCAACGTTAAAATTAAGTGGAGGCAACCACGTCTTTCTGAAGGTCGCTATTTTCGACGCAATTTCGAAGGTCAATCCGACGTCAATTGCCCACTGGAAGAAAACAATTATCGCAAACATTTTACGTCCTTATTTTATTCGGAAGATGACTCCCACTAATGTTTCAAAACGTTGCTAAATATTAACACCTTATCTACTAATGTGGATGATCTACATTTACTAGCATGTAGCTGATGCTCTTTGGTTGAAACCATTTACTTTATTATTGCATTCTTGCTGTTAAAAATATTCACCGCAAAACACCGTATTTTTTAGTCCATCATACCTAAACTTAGCATCATTGCTCGTGAAAAAGAGTAACGTAAATTCTTGTGTGACGTAAAGCATACGTTCATATAGTACCATTAGGAAGAAATCCACCAGACGTTCAAGGATTGGAAGTGGAAAAGTGGGCAGATTCCACCAGAACAGTTTTGACGTGGAATAAAAACGAAATAAACTCTTCACATGTGAACATCACAATCCAAAATGGATTTTTTCTCCAGAAACTGAACGATTTAGTCACTTTTCACGATGTTCCTAATTCTGGACGCTATGAACTTGATTTCAGTTATGGTAGTATCTTAAAGAACTCAAGGTAAACATCATTTTTTTAGGCGTTTTGCAATGAATTATGCCTTAAAATCAATGGTTGCAACACTTTGATTTTTATTGACCCTTGTTTTTTAGCTATTGGGGGGTCTACAAATGTCCCCCAACATTTCAGTAAATTAGCAATTGTTATAAGAAAATATTTGCGGTGTTTTTGGATTAGAAAAAAAGAAGTGGGGAAAAAAGAGGCTTGTAAAACGCAGCCTAATTATCTTCTCTTATTAATTGTGCAGGAATCTGTAAAGTCTTTTCTTTACTTGCCAAATTTGTTATTAACATTACCTGCTGAGCAAGAGAACGATTTAATTTAGTGATAGCATGACAATGATAGAGCAGTACAAACAAAGAAAATTAAAATAACCAAAATTTTGCATAATTTATCTTTTTTTTCTGCTTCAAACTAATATTTGATAAGAAAAACATGTTTAAATGTAGCTGATGCCATTTTTTCTTGCGAGAAGTGTGTTTTAGTTTAGTATTTGTACGTGACCACTTAGTTTTTCGTTGCAGAAACAAACGAAAAAGAAGAAGTCTTACGTCTCCAATTTCAATTCTTAACATTAAGGCATCATCACCTGGCAAAAATTCAAAAACGCTTTTTAGTGCTGTTTTTATTTCATCACGTGACCCATGTGCAACATATCTCTCATTTTTAGATGGAATCAATGGTATAGTAAAAATGATTTTCTTTATAAAATTTTACACAATAAAATCTAATAGACACGATTTGAACGTAATGACATCTTACACAAAGGACAGATGGTTATAGCAGTGACAATTTAATTATTGTCTTTTCTCTATATTAAGTGAAAGAGTTGTCTGCATGCCCTACGAGCATACGACAAGCAAGAGTAGATGAGCAATTTGTCGAAGATGTTGGAGTTAAAAGCCGTTTGATAAACTACTTTCATTCTGGCAAGACATCTTGTTATCGATCACGAAGTTCCAGGTTTGTGTTAAGTAATGCTAAATATGAACGTCTTCTCCCTATGGCTGTTAGCGTTTTTACTCATATTTAATGTTAGAATGTTTCTATCAGGAGAATTCGTATTATTTATGGTTTCATTTTATTGTTTTTTCATTTTCAATTTTTTTAGTGATTTCATATATTACCTATTTACTTTTATTGTTTATGAAATACAAGAATACTAACTATAAGATTATTAAAATATTGAACGGTTATCTTTTTCAATATGTTATTGCTAGCAATTTAATTTTCATTACTGAAGAATCTTAAATAAAACTTGCAGTATGTTTTGTCAAGCATAAATGGAAAAGAATAACGTTTTTCAGAGTATTTAAAAGGCATTGGACACTTTTTGTTTTATGAATGAACATTTTTCCCATTGGATGTCTTATGAGATTATGTTGCGATAGAGATAAATTACGAAGAAAAGGACTTTGAGTGCGTTGACATAATAATTAACGTTTACTTAATTTTACATTGTTTTCTATCTCATCATGTTATAAGTATGAAACTAAAATATAAGCTTAAGTTAGGATGAAATTTTTGTGGATAACACAAGAGAAAAAAATTTTATGCAGAACGTCAAAGCATCCAAAAATATAATACATGAAATCAATTGCACTAAAATTTAAAAATACCTCGCTTTTTGTGTACTATAGCTCAACCGAGAACTACAATTTGTAACTGAGTGGGTTATACCTCTGTTAATTAGAATGAAGGTTAACATCTAATACTAACTGATATAGTCTTGGTTAAATAAGTACCCCAATTAATATTTCTGATTATTATTTAATTCTTTGATATGTGTAATGACCCTGCTATACTTGCTTGTTGCGTTTTATTTTGTGCTGTATTCAAGTAGAGCTAAACAATAAATATATCGTAACTTGCTTCATATGCTGCGTTTGTACAAAACTATAGAATCATTAAAAGCTGAACAGCTCCCTAAAGCTCAAACGAAAAAGGGTACGTCAGCATATCGTTGACTTCATCCTCTAAAATTAAAACTGTTCATATGCCTATTGGCAGAGCGATGCTCTTCCCATCTTTTAATGATGTCTCAGCAAAAAATGTGTTTGCATCAGTCGCCATGCTTGGGGGAAATCCCATTTAAAAAGAAATATTTATATTAATTTTATGCTCTGTAATTTTATGCATCATCGGCTGTTTAATGTACTGCCCCAACATGGATGATTTGTCTTCACATGCAAACTCTCCATTTGTTCCCGTATCTTAGTACAGTCTACATTCTTGCATACAATGTGTATTGCTTATCACACAGCCTTTCTCGATTGTAAAAGACATCTCATAAAAAATTATACAAAGTGTCCATTATTCCGATTTTTACCTTTTAGTGCATCAGGTAAAGAGCAACAATGTTGCTATAGTGATCAAGGAAAGCTAATAGTGGGACCTCCACGTGGTGGAACACCGGATAGGGAATCACCTGAGAACAGTGTATGGAATCATTATAGAAAAGATGTGTTACCTTTTTATGCTTGTTGTCATTCCCTGAAAACTTGTGGTCAATACTACAGCAAACGGCCTTCTGATGATGGTGCTGGATATGTACCACCACCTGTTGGTGAGTACTTCATTTAGATTAATGTCTAAAATTGGCTGAACCAAAAATTAAATTAATTTATTAATTTAATTAAATATGCAAATTGTTCTTGGGTTTGTCTGTAAAATTCATATATACATAAAAAAGCACAGTTTGCTGTTTTTTTTTTGGAAAAAAGCTACATAAGTATTCAAATCATTGGTCTGTTAAATTGATATAACAAAACGCAGTTTTTGCTTAGACCTCTACAAACACAAATTTTGTTCGTTAATTGTGTCAATTTTGTATATCGATGGTAATAGAACTCAGTATCATTCAAATTAATGATGGACTTTAGCATTAATTATCTCATATTGTTTTGTACCTTAGCTGATACCAGGGGAGATCCTCACTTGTCCACATTTGATGGAACATTTTATACATTTAATGGTCATGGTGAATATGTTCTCTTACATATCAACAATGGTGAGGATCTACAATTTCAAGGAAGAATGATACCAATTCCTGATGATCAAGGCAACACCACGAAAGCAACTGCACTCACAGCATTTGCTATAAAGGAAGCAGCAAGTGACACTTTACAGGTAAATATATGACGAAAGAATTTAAGAGTATTGTAGCAATGTTTTATTGATTTCAATGTGCTAGTACTGAAACGAGTTACGAGTTATTTGAGCTCTTCCATATAATTTGCGAAATGTGTTTTCCATAAATAAATTTTCCTTGCTTAAATAAATGTATTTTACGTAAAAGAATTAATTGTATGTAAGAGTAGATACTAAATTATTATTTTTCAAAAATACTTTTTATCATAACTTTTTTGTTGAAGGTTGAGTTCAACAAAAGACTAAAAGTTATTGTTTATGTCAACGGAGAAAAAATTCAATTCGATGAGCAAACGAGACTGGACTTCAAAGAAGTTTTTCTTATTAAACACAATATAACTAAAATTGGTATTTACTTCTCGTCTGGAGTGTCAGTTGAGACAAAGTCAATTGAAGATTTTTTAAACTATCAAATTTCAATCCCACAGAAGTTTAAAGGTAATTACTAGATAGATAGGTTGCTTTACTTTAGACTTTTTCTTAATATTTTGAGCATATTCTTTACGTTGGAATATAAACAGAAGACTAAACAATGATTTTCACTTTTATAATACATATCTTCTTGTGTTCAATCACAGGAAAAATAGTAAATTAAAGAGAAATTTTAAAGACATAAAACTTTCTTGAGAAAATTTTGCACTGCAACAAAAAATATTTTCAATTTCATATTTTTGTTTGCAGGAAATACATCTGGACTTCTTGGCTTTTGGGACGATGGTACAGAAAAGAATTTTATTGCCAAACGGAAGCTTCATTCAAACTAATTCAAGTGATCGAACCTTACATTACGAATTCGGCTTAAAATGTAAGTTTTTTCAAATTTATTAAATAAAAAAAGGAAAATAATAGAAAAATAAGGAGCAGTGGCGCAAACAAGGGAGAGGGGATTTCCACACGTTAAAAGAACAAAGGCAATATATTTGTAAAAAAGGGAAATCAGGATAGAAAATTTAGGTGACACATACTTGACTACCTTTGTTTTGGATGACAACCTTCATCCCAACAATTTGACAAGTTTTCTTCTCTATTTTAATCTAACAACAGAAAATGCGTACTATCGTTACCAGTGGTATTCTAACCATTTGGTTCGATAATTTTTTTTTGTATGTTGTGCATATATGTCAATGAAAATATTCTCACTATACAACGTATAGCAATTGCTTATGAACCAAGAAAGGCTATGAAGTCTGTATGATTATGTCAGTCAAACGTAACAGAATATATGAGTTATAGGCATTTAAAACAAGGTTCTCTATTTTGCGCACATGTCATGATAAATAAATGATGAATGAGCGATCATCATTAGATGTAGAATGAAGTAAGAATGAATTGTAAGAATCGTGTAAAAATAATATAAGAATGAACTTTACATGACAATATCTCGTGTTGTAGACGTCATTAGGGTTCTCTTTGATGAAAGTAATACGCTTTAAGATATTAAATATACTTCAATATAGTGCTATTTTCGCTTTCGTTTATTTTAAATCGAATCAAAGATTTTGGAAATGGTTGTATTTATAGGTAATCATTAAATTAATGTTTTCTAATGGCATATAACTTTCAGAATAGCGTAAAATCATACCCCAAAACAGGGGAGCATGTCTTTCATGAAATGCTTAGAGTATGAATATTTGCCCCCAAAAGTTTATGTCAAGGTACACCACTATTAAGCAAATGACTAAAGCTAATGTAAGTTAGCTGTAACGGTCTTTCGCATCCCAAAAATATCCTAAATAAAGTTCATTGAGAGAAATAATGCTAAACTAGGGAACCTTTTTCGATTTGCTTATGTGAAAAGAAAATAATCTGTTTTGTAACAAGGAGACCAATGATTCTTTCTAGAAAAAATCAAAATGCAACACTTGTTTCCGTAAAAAGCTTTTGTGATAAAAAATACAATTTGAATTAGGAGACCACAATATATTTACAGGGATTGTCAACAGCAGCAAAACTTTGTTCAAGTACCCGAGTGGAAAGAGTTATAACACTTTTGTTGATCAGACATTTACACCAATGTTTTTGGATGAGTCAAACACATTGTTTTCTGACGATGATTTGGAGCGGCGAGCAAGGTCTGTTTGTGGTGAAAACAAAGAATGTTTATTTGATGTCGCTGTCACAGGAAAGACAAGTATTGGCGAAGCAACTTTAAAATCTTTTAAAGAACTACAAATAAGAAAAATGACTCCATTGTTGGTGAGATGAATAAAGTTTGATCATTCAATATGTACTTGCGTTTCAAGAACCTGTTACGAAAGCTATATCTTAAATCCTCCTTTTTTTCATAGTTTAAGTTAGCAATATTTTGCAAAGCTAAGTTTTTATTTCAGTCGCGGCTCCTATCTATTTTGGTTGTGATGGTATTCAAGACAGTGAAAATAAAACAGACTTTTGTGGTGTTTGTGGAGGTGATAATTCCACGTGCACAAATTGTCAAGGTGTTGTCCAACCTGGGTTTATTGCAAATGTAACTTGTGGTAAGTGGCTGTAAGTTGTACATTGTTAGAATTAATCGATACTTGAGACTTTCCATATTGCTGATCTTTTCCTCATTGCCTGCTAATATATTGCGAAATGAAGCTTATGAGTACGGAATTTATTGGCTATATAAGCTCTACAGATCATGCATATTGATATTGTAACACATAACATTAAAAAAATATAACAATCGAGCATGAAGTAGACCTGTTCGTATTTGAAATACTGTGAAATAACATTGAGTTATGGTATTTCAAAAGTACGTTAATACTACAGCAATTTTTAGCCTGTGATTTGCATATTTGTTTCATAGGAGACACAATTTTGCATTTAGTATGCTGGTTGGGGTTTTTTGTTTACTATACGAAATTTTTGCGCTGTCTCAATTAACATTTTATTAAATTGGTTCTCTAGCGGTCTTTTCAATACGACAAAAAAAGGAAAAAATCATAATTTTAGCTAAAATAATAACCACTATTGTTTTATAATATGAAGCATACTCCGATTATAACATTCATGATTAACTAAAGAAAAGAAATAGGACATTTTTTATTGGAAAGGTTATATTTTGAATTTGTTACAGATTCATCATGCGAATATATTTACAAGCCAGCTGATGCTCTACTCATACGTGCGCTACTAATATAAGCATCCTATGATGTTTAATTTGAATAATTATGATTGAAATATATTTAAATTATGTAGTCTCATCTATACATTTTAGAGAATAAAAACAACGACGATCTTTATACTTATTTTATATCTTAATACTGATGTTTCAAAAATATCTATATGCACGCCATTACATTATGTCTTTGAAATGAAAATGATTCTGGCACAAATTAAGTATAAAGCTTAAATTAGTTAACCCTAATGAACCATCTAATTTTACTAACACTCAGGAACTTTTTAAAATATGTCATTAAAATAACTTCATGATTCACAAATTTCTTACATGAAGGAAAAGGAAATTCATCACGTTTGTTTACTAACTTTTTTTCAGGATTTCATAAAAAGTAACCTTGAAATATTTAGAAAAATTTAAAAATTCATCTTTTGTATATCGCTCTACTAATACGTTTGTTTGGTAACATTAGCGATATGATAGTAGAAATAGCGGTGCAATATGAGAAATGAAGTTTTTATGGAATCAATTTGGCTTGAGAGATGGTTCTCAATGTTTGAATAGCTTAGGGATTTCTTCGTGAATTTATACAGGTGTTTATCAAGAATGGAGTGAATGGAGTGTTTGTTTCAAGAAAAACGACAAAGATACGAAAATGAGAAATCGAACTTGCTCTGAAGCTGGCCAATGTGGATATCTTGGTGAAAACATTCAACACAAGTCTTGCGATGATGGTAAGTGTATATTTTAAAGATAGTTGTGTTTTATACATGCTTAGACATCACGCAAAGAATATTTTCTTGACACATACGTTATTGCACAATATGTCATTATAATTATGTAATCCGGATTTATCACTGACAACTTAAGCCCGGTTTCCAGATAATCGTCTTGATCGTCTGTCGTCTGTATTCCTGCTATATGAAAGTTTTAGAACAGTAACATTATTTATTTATTAAAAAATCTGTTATTTTTACAGTAAGTAAGATTTGAATATAATAGGATTAAATAAGCGGGTTGACCATCCAGTGGCTCAACTTCTTTGATGTGAAAACACATCAATCAGTTTAGGTAGTAATTAAGAGATGATTTAGTTTGTAGGCGATAACAAGAATAATTTCTTTTTCGGACATTGAATCCAATAAGATGCTTTATTACGAAACAAAAAGTTTCTCTCTTTGCGTGTTGTTCTAAAATCTTGTCGACATCCTTTCCTGTTTACATGCATTTCTTTTAAAAACTGCTGTTATATTTATCATGCACAATTATACATTGTACGTTGAATTATTTTTGTCTCTTTTTGAATGCAATTTTTTGTTTTTAATTATAAGAGGCTATTTGATGGTTGATGCTTGTAGAACTTTGGTGTCGAGCTTGTTTGGGCTGCCTAAATAGTATCTAACATAACTATTAAATGTTCACCATAAATCACCTAAAGAAAATAAGAGCATCAATTTTATTAATTTACTTTTCTTTTCTTTAAGATATAAACAAATGTCTTTGTAACCCTTGCCACAACAGTGCTAACTGCATTGACAATGAAGGGTCTTACAAGTGCAATTGCAAAAATTCTTGATATTTTTTAATTTCATGCATCTGTACAAAGTTTTTCATCAATTTTTTTTTCATTTAGATATTAACGAATGCCTTTCTAATCCTTGTAAAGTCAAATGTACTGATAATGAAGGATCGTATGAATGTCACTGTAGAGAAAGATGCTCCGATGTTGACAGTTTTTCCCTTATAATGGACATAAAATATGCTGGATTTGCTGGAGATTTACTACAAATTACGTGCAGTTTTAACGGTACATCTACACCAAGTTTTGTATGGAAAAATGGTAGCCAATTGCTCTCTTTCTCGGAAAGAATAAAAATTGAAACAAATGGCAAAATCTCAAATCTTTTTGTTCGCAAAACACTAAAAACTGATTCCGGTTTTTACCAATGCATCGCAAGGTTAGATATGTTTCTATTGCTTTTTTAGTTCTTTGAGACTGGAATTCGTTTATCTTTTTACGACGATTGATGACGCGTATATTGGAGTGAAGCATGTAATACAGACTAGGTTTATATTAGAGCAAATGTTCACATATCTAATTCATACAATGAGTAGTAGACAAATTTCAAAACCTTTTCATGTTTTACAAAACTTTGCTAGGAAAGCTGAATACATCATTTACAGCAATGTCTCTATTAAAGTAAAAGTCGCTCCAGTTGTGTCTGTTTTTCCACATTCAATATCTACTAAAGAAGGTATGTATTTGCTTACTTGAGTTGAATTTCTGGGGCCGGTTGCACGAGGCTTAGATAGCGTTATCCATTGGATAGTTAAAATTGTCAAACTTGGAAAAAACGTGTTTATAATTTCATTACGACAAAGAATTTTTGTAATCTTAGAAGCAATATTTCATTTCAGTGATTGCTCAGTTCAAATTTTATATTTTTACTTTTTAAAAGGTTTTATAAAAGTTTAAAAAAATTTGCTGTCCAATGGATAACGCTATTCCTGCAACTGGCCCCTGATGTTTTTACACATCGCTATAAAAATGCACTAAACCCATCCAACATTATTTTGCATATTTCTATTATCTTTTCATGGATACTTGGGGAAAGCATATTTAATCCATAAACCATTGAAATCTATGGATGGTATTTTGCGGTTAGTTTTTATAGAGTAGGCTTACCAATCGTGTTGAGATGCTACTATATTGAATATTTTACACAGAATTCTCTTGTGGGCATGTTCATATGTTTTATCAAACTATCGTTTGCTAATAATATGTAAGCCATATTAAATTAAAGTTATTTTATTTTTAATTTTACTTTTAGTAATTGCATTATTCTTTTGATAAAATATGATTCATATATAAAAAAAAATCTCCAATTCTGTTCATGTATATTTTTGTCATTTAATGAAGTCGTCTGCAATTTTTTTGTTTTTCTATAGATGACGTAGTGTTACTCACTTGTCATGTGCTTGAAGGCGATGAGAAAAATATAAAAATTTTATGGTTCAACAAGTCATATCCAAAAGTTCACATGCATCGAGGAAGACAACTTAATCTTACAAACCTCGTCCAACTAACAGATCGTAAAAGCTTTTCAGAAGAGTATTGGTGCACTGCTAAAAACTCAGATGGTAAAAATCGAAGTCGGAACGTAAAAGTTGTCTTAGTGTCAAAAGGTACGCCCTTTTTTCTCTGTTTTACTGCAAATCAACCATTCTAACAATGAAGAATATATACTACCTAGTATAACTGTAATTTTGCCCATGTATAGTGCAGGTAGATATGCTAAAAAAAAGTGTCATTCTTTATGTCTTTGTTTAATTTTATTCCTGCATGCATAGTGCAATAATAAAAGGCTCCTGTCGACAAGGTAAAACGTGTGAGCTTTAAAATATGAGAAGAACTATTTAAGACCTACACAAGGACCCCTACAGTCTGTCCTTGATTATGCATATTGTTCTCATTTACGGGTTCTTCCTAAAGCCTTGCTTCGTCAAAATGAAATATTTTACCAAATGGTGAATTTTACGTTAGATTTTAAAAATTTGAGGATTTTCTTTCGCAAGGATACAAAAGATTATCAAAACTATGATAAACTATAGACTTTAAACGTTGTCTTTCCTTCATTGTTTCTTGATAAATGTTTTTGTACTTCTGGCAGTTTTCTGTAAAAGCTTGCATTTTACATTGAAAACGTAGGTTTCACTGACTTCTGCTCGAAAGAATCATCTGGTGGTTATGTTTGGAAGAAAACTCCAGTTGGATCAACTGTCGTTATTGACTGCGGCCAAAATAAGACAGGTTAGTTATTATTCTATTTTGATTTTTCTGCAAGATGGCCAGTAGCAGATCTAGAGTAAGTCAAATAACATCGAAAATGGTCTTTGTAAGCAGTGCAATCCCATAGGGAAATTTTTGAAATCAAATAATCTTCGTAAAAATTTTCACTTATAAAATTATTACTAATGTATTTTGAAATTTAAACGTTGCACTGTAGTATATATGTTTTCACTTTTGCCCAGATCTGCGAATCTTATAGTAAATAGTACAGTAGATTTTTAAATATATCGTACTTTTATTGGCATTGTTTTTGATTTTGATATCTTTAAGACAAGTGTTTTCTTACTCAAAATAGGCCCAAAAAGTCTTGGGTTGACAGAAAAATTTGCTCACTCTCATATATATATACAAAGTGTATTACAATGTTCCTTCCCGGCTATCACCATATTAAAATGATAACTCCTGCACTTGGGACACAGGACGTATATATATATAAATAACTACGACTTTAAAAGAAAATCACTAGCCACCAAAGAAGGCATATGAATTTTACGAGAAAAAATCTAAAGCAATAAGATTGAAACTAAAGAACACACACTCAAAATGTATTTTGTCGAGCTAAATACGAAAACATGTAAACTTTGTATCAATGCTTAAATATGCCAAAGATTTTTTAAGTTGGTGCATGATAAAAAAGCAGAAACATCTATAACCATTAAACTTGCCTTTACTTAAGTTAATCAGCAACTCTTATAAAAGGATTTTGCTATATATAGCTCTATGAAAGATGAAACGAAATTAGTACTTTTGTTTGAAGAGCACTGCATGTATTTAAGCAAAAAATTCGTGTTCTGCTTAAAAGATTACTGAACTTCTTTTTGGCGATGTAATATATACTGGTAACAGCGTCAAAATTTTTCGGATATTTTTTATTTTGATAAAAAATTCAAGTTTTTGAAATCGTGAAGAACAATTACGACCGATTTGTTGGTTTATATTTTTTTGCTACTTACTAAAAATTTATTGTGTAAATACACCAGACAAGGAAAGTGCTTATATCACATGTTGTTGCATAGTATTTTCTTATGCACATATAGTTGAAATGAACTTATGCGTATGCTTGGCTTAATATTTACATGGTGAAAAATTTGAAGAAAATCCATATGATTGTTTACATAGGCATAATGAACAAAATAGCACTTCGTTTTTCTTTATGAAATATTGATTTGTATAATGTAGTGTAAAATTTGTTCAACACCACAACCCTTTGGAATGTGTTGTATTCTTTGCCACTAAAATGAAACTTTCTCGTGCACTTTCCTTTATGCTTTGTATTTAGTATATCGTGCAATTTCAATGAAAACTAACAACACTTTAGAAAACATGTAGTACACAAAATTAGTATATAGACTTTTTGTTTGTCGTGCACCCTGCTTACCTAGCAAACACATATGTTGTTTTATATGAAAAGTTAACGAGCATGGAAGCATTTGCTTTACAAACAGAAGCATGCAGACATATTTACGATTTTATGAAAAAGATATATAATTTTGACCGTTAAAGGAAATATAGAATTTGGTTTGCATGATATGACTTGGAAGAAACGACTATTTGTTTCATAGCTATATAGATGTCAAAAAATCCTATTATAGCTATTTAGAAACTATTCAATACATATTTGTACTTGTTAATGCTTTCCGACATTGGTAATTTTTTTGATTTTTCTAAAATATTGCTTTTAACTGAAATATTTTCTTGTCTTAGAACAATTGGCAATGTCCTCTGTCTATTTCACTTTTTCTTTGTTTAATACATAGGAATAGCTTCAAGGTCTTGCTCACTCGTCGCTGGAAACCCAAAATGGCGTCCTGTTGATATTTCGAAATGTAGATCAGAAGAAGTCGTAGATCTCCTGGATCAGGTGAATATTTCAATTTCCCTTGCAACTAGCTCAGTAACATTACACACAGTGAGTGTTATAAATTCACCATTTAATACCAGGTATCAAGGCTTGATGAAGGTTTCGCAAGTAACGTCAGTGAAATTATAAAAAAAACAGAAACTGTTACAGATGTTGTTAAATTATCGCAAAAGGACGTCGAGGATCTCGTGTCGATTTTAAAAATAACACAAAATAAAACGGCGACTCAAAGTGATCGCGAGAACTTCATTCGATCTTCCAGCAATATTGTTGGCCGTGGACAAAGAAATGTGTGGAAAAACATACCGGTGAGAGAAAAATGCAATTTTAATGCTTGATGAAAATATAGAACATTTTTCATTGTTCATTATTTGGAAATAATGAACGGAAAAAATTCAAGGGTTCATTGGAGTTCATTTGGAAATACCTCTTGTCGATAGCAGTTTTTTAGCTATAAAGCAATTTGCGCTGTGTTAGCCTTTTTCAATTGTGCTATTTTTCTTTGGATTCACATTGCTTGGGAAGCGTTAAAGTTCCTTAATTTTAAAGTATGATTTCCCAATTTTTTAATAAGACATTCACAATACTAAATTTGCTCTGAATGCGTATGAAAAATCTAGAACTGCTTTTATTCGTGTAATATTAGCAATAAGATGGCTAAGCTTATTGCGAGTAATGTTTTTAGTGAAACACCTTAATCATGTTTTTCATTTCTCAACTTATTAAGCATATCATATAAAACAATATCTGTAGACCTTCCACTTACTGTCCTCCCGACTGCAATGAGCAGCAAACGTCGAAGCGAATCACGGAGTTCCGGGTTTGTGACCAGAATAGCCAGTTTAATAGGTGGAAGGTCTACTTATTTTTTCAATTAGTCTTCTTTCTTCAGTATGCCAGTGATAACTGAGTTAGACTAAGATGTAATATGCTTATTAAGTACAGAAATGAAAAACATGATTAAGGTGTTTCACTAAGAACATTACTAGCAATAAGCTTAATCAACTTATTATGAATTTAGAGAGAGGCTTTATTAATTGCTTTCGATCGTCTTCAACTAAATTTTTTTTGGCCTCAATCACCTTCATTATCTGTAAGCTTTATGCATGATGACATTAAATCATAGCGTTTTACTATTTTTTAGGAAAGAAACACTTTAGCAAGACAAATTATCAGTGGCGCCGATCTTAATGCTAAAAAATTTGTTGCCGAAAGTAAAAAAATTGGTGAAGAGGTTTCTTTCAAAACAACTAACATTCAAGTAATTGGTATAAAACTCCCTGAAAACCAAAAATCGATCCGAAGAAATTAAACTGGTAGACACAGGCGGTCAGGGCGTTCGATTTCACACAAGTCTTGCGAACGGTCTACAACAAGCCACTGTTGTAAAGTACTCGTCAATTAAGGATATTTTATCTTCTGAAGAACTGAAAAAATCTGTAGATAAAACTATAAAGTCAAGTGGAAATTTAACCATCCAGAGTACGATCTTGTCTTTCACCACCACACCAAAACTTTATGTTACCCAAGCTATTCAAATTATCTTGAAAAATAATCAGGTACGAACGTAATCCGCCGATTTCAAGTTTCAAACCTATTCTCTGCTCCTCTTACAGTAGTATTTGTTTTTCTTTATTACAGAGTGGTTTTGATGACCCTAAAAGAGAATGTGTGTTTATTGAGCCGGATGTCAATGGTAGCAAATGGAGTGGTGAAGGATGTATGCTAAATGAAAAAGAATCCTCAGAAGACAGCGTCATATGTGATTGTGATCACAATACAGCTTTTGCTATAATGATGGATACAACTGGTGTTAAGGTATAAGTCTATACCTATTACGTATTCGTAAACGCCAAGTACTTGCCACTTAATGTTAGTGTAGCATTTTTCCACACCATTTTTCGGAGGATGAAACACAGCTCAAGATAGATATAAAGAAAAATCATTCATATATGATAATTTAAATTGTTCTTCAGTAGCAATTACGCAAGCAATGTTTACAAAAAAACCTTTAATGCACAATGGAGTTTTTGTTCTCTCAACAACAATCCAAGCATAACTATAAATAAATCTGCTGTAAAAAGACGTAAAGACGTGCAACGAATTCTGCTTTCTTCACTAAAGCATGTTAAATTTTTTATTCCTTTCATTAATTAATTCCTATTGCCAAATCGCAACTTTTAAATGATAGAAGTTAGAAAATGCTAAAAAAACAGGGGTGGTGAAATAGCCAGAATTTACGTTTGTGAGAACGGCAAAAGATGAAACTTTACTTTATATATTATTATGTTTACATAAAAGATAAAAGTTTCTTCGGATTTTGAATGATTTTTATTGAGCTTTCGACTCGTTGCTTCGAGCCTTCATCAGAATGAGGATATTTATTTACACGTGCTTTTAGCTTGGAGACGTTTAGAGCGTCTAATTGGATTAGTGGGTGGATTAATGTAATTGGATGGGGTGAAATGCGTTGCCATGGGTTTTGGTATATTGTAAATATGATTGGTGTTAATGATATTAGAGTGTAGTGTTTTAGTTTTGGTGTTGTTTTAGTTTTTGTCCTTTTCTTTATTTTTCTTTAGTTTTCTTCAGTTTTTTCTTTTATTATTATGTTTATAGATAACTGAAACTGAACGAGAAGTCTTGGAATATATATCAAATATTGGATGCTCTATATCGCTTTTTGGTATAGTTTTAACATTGCTAACACATGCGTTGTTTTGGAAACATGTAAAATCGCCAAAATCAAAAGTTTTGCTGTGTCTTTGTATTGCTATTGGTTTTACCGACGTTTTTGCTATATTGGAAGGTGTTTCAAGATATAACCCGGTATGTATAAGATGAGGTAAAGAATCAGTAAATGATTTTTCAATTTCATTTTGAAGGAAAAATCGTTAAATTGGATTTTAGCACCTTATTTTGGCAATAAAGCCTTTATACGTTAGCAGAATTTGGCTTTTTGCAATAACCTTAACATGAAAACCAAAAACCGGCTTAGAGTTTAATTCTCATCGAGAATTTAAATTTTGCTGCGTGTAAAGGAAAGCCTTTTACCCGGCCAATAATTGAAGATACGTATTCTTTGAA